TGCCTCTTGGGCGGTGACTTCCAGGCCGCTGGCCTTCCCAAGCAACCGGTACCTCCTCCTATTTTTGGAGGGAACATCATTGCAGACTCTAATATTGCCCCTACAGGCCTTAGACTCAGACTGGTACCCGCTAGACCTAGCCTACACTACCGGACTCTAAAAATGCCACTTTTGTCTTCTTCTGCTCGGCCTCCGGTACCTGCATATTTACCCCCCTACCGGGTGCGGTACCGGCCTACCCGCTACTTGAGTGCTTTTTCCCCTGCTGCAACCCTTCAAAGCCACAACCACATGTAATTACCGACCCTGGGGCCCAATGAACGAACAAGTGCCCTGGCGGGCCACACACACGCACACTCATACCAACCAGCACTCAGATAGGCACGGTCACACACGCAAGCCAACCAGCACTCAGACAGACATGCAGTCCAGCAAGCACACACACACATAGACTTAGCAGGCGGGGAACTCAGTAGGGCATTCAGTCTATGAGCAAAACTCAGAAATCAGCTGTGTGTTTCAGTCCGTGTTTGGACGGGTTATCACAGGTGGTTTAAAGATAGTCATGGTCTAACCTGGCAGGTTCAGCTGCTACAGTCGCAATTTAGCAGCTGTTAGGGCCTATTCACACTAGGGGCTTTTTTTCGCAATATTGGAGTCACGCTAGGGCCTTTTTTTGGCAATATTGCAAGAATTGCCAAGGTTTTTGGAGTCACCCATTGCCCGCCCCCACCAATCAAATTCGCAATTGGTCGGGGCAAATGTCAGCAGCCTGCAGGGCCGCGGGGTTGAGTCATTTGCCAGCACCCACCACCTCTAGTGGTGCTGGCCAAAAACACTTTCCCTGAATCTGTGAGCTCACAGACGAGAATCGCAGGCATCCATCGACTACTTTCACCGTTTCGATGTAGAGGGCTCGGGCACAGGTCTACGGATCGAATCTCTGTGTCTGCAAATGTTGGATCAACTGGGTGAAACCGTTCTCCCGCCGTCCTAAATTCGAGGTCCTCCGAGAACACTCTAACTCAAGGTAGGACCTTTCCCCTTTCTTTCTCTTTCATAGGCGTGTACTATGTCGGGAGCGGTTTCTAAGAGCTCTGTTCTGGTAAACCATCGGTCTTCCTCAGGTTCCTGATATGCGAACCTAACCTTATACTGTTTCTGGGGACGACCCCGACCTCCTGTTCTAAACACATCCTCTTCCACTATGCGATCTATGTCATATGCACCATCCATGTCTGGCGGGATCATTGCTCTCCAGGAAGGGAATCTGTCGGATGTGGTGCAAGGCAGCAACTTAGACGCATGGAAGACTGGGTACGTGTGGAGGGGAGGTGGGATCTCTATTGTGTATGGTGGGCCGTCCTCTCCTCCTTTGACTTCTAGGACAGGCCATGATCCTCTATACGCGGGTAAGAGCTTCTGGGAGATGTTTTCCTCTGGAGTGAACTCCTTTGACTTGACCCAAACTAAATCGCCTACCTGAAACTGTGACAGTCGGCGGTGCTTGTTAGCTTGTTCTACCATCCGATGCTGGGTTTTCCTAAGATTGTTAATGACCTTAGCGACTTCTTGCTCATCCTGTAACGCAAACTCTCGTGTTCCGGATGGTAGCCTCTATATCTGGTCCCAGTTCATTCCTTCAAACTGTCGCCTTGGTCTAAAGGACTTATGTAACTCATTAGGAGTTCTGCAGGTGGCTAGATGAACATTGTTATTATAGGCACTTGCTACTTTGGGGAGCATCTCATTCTAGCTTACCTAATCTGGCCTAATACACATTCTGAGTAGTTGCTGCAAGATCTTGTTCATTTGCTTTGTCTGGCCGTTCGTCTCTGGGTGACGGCCGGATGACATCAATAGCTTAGATATGTATACCTTCATAAGATATTGCCAGTTCTGACTGGTAAACCGTGTGTCTCTATCACTGACTATGGACAACGGTAAACCGTGTTCGCTTACCCAGAAATCGAAAAACTTGCTTATTACCAAGTCTGTACGTGCCTCTGAAGGCAGGGGAACAAATATTGCATACTTACTAAATCGGTCTACTATGACCATGACTTGAGTTTTGTCGTGTCTACTCCTGACCCCAGTATCCATGAAATCGATGGAAACTGACTCTGAGGGTCCTAATGGAATAGGCAAGGGTCTAAGAAGACCTAACGGGGCTCTTGTTGTGGTCTTATTGCGCTGACATACTTTGCAACTGCGGACATATTCTATGCAGTCCGCTTTCATACCTGGCCACGTGTATGACATCATCAGGTTAGCTAAAGTCTTTTGCCATCCGAAGTGCCCCTCTGTATCGTGGCATTCCCCTAAGATCGGACTACGGATCTCTTCATTGTTGGGGACACACAGTCTGTCAGCGACATTGGTCTTCTCAAACAGTAACCCGTTCGTCGTTCGGTAACGTGGTTCACTATCTGGGGCTTCTTTTACTATCTTCAGTAGCTCACTATAGATTGGGTCCTGTGCGTAGGAATCTCCCACTTTCTGCTGCAGATCGGCCCCTATGTCTAGATAGTGTACTATCGCGCCAAAATAGTCCGCTCTCCTGTTTAGGGCGTCAACTACCATGTTATACTTGCCTTTAATGGGTTTTAGCTCAAAGTCATATTGGTCTATTTCAGCAGCCCATCTAGTTAACTTGGGTGTCATCTTGGCTTGGGTCTTTAGCCATCTAAAAGTCTCATGATCTGAATATACCTTGAAGTGCCTCCCAAGAAGGTAGTGCTTCCAATGATCTAAGGCCTGCCTAAGAGCGTAGAGTTCCCTCTCGTATGTCGATGCTGCTACCTTTTTTTAGGGCATCCTGGCTGACATGAACTCTACGGGTCTATAACCGTTGCCGTCATCTTGCTGCAAAACGGCGCCTATGCCATACTGACTAGCGTCTGTGGTGACAACAAATGGCAGTGACGGATCAGCAACTTTGAGGACAGGGTACTCTATTAAGGCCTTCGTTAATTTCTTGAAGGTTGACGTGCAATCCTGGTCCCACTTCCAAATTGTCTCTTTCTTCAGTAATCTACGAAGGGGAGCAGCAATCGTGGAGAAGTTCCTTACAAACTTCCTGTAGTAGTTAGCCAACCCGAGGAACGAGCGTAACTCTGTCAGTGTCCGCGAGGTCGGCCAATCTCTAATAGATGTTATCTTATTGTCCTCAGGCCGAATACCGTCTCCGTCTAATACATGGCCTAGGCAAAGGACGTCTGTCTTGGCCCATTCGCACTTCTTCGGGTTAATCTTGAAGTTAGACTCGCTTAGCTTGCCTAAAATCTGCCCCAGATGGCCCTCGTGCTCCTTGAGGGTCTTGCTGAACATTAGGATATCGTCTAAATAGAGTACGACGAACCTATCTAACCATGGCCTAAACAAGTCGTTCATGCAACACTGAAATGTGGTCGGTGCATTAGTTAGTCCAAACGGCAACACTATGAACACGTAATGCCCATATCTCGTCCTGAACGTTGTCTTGTACTGATCGTCAAGGTGGACCTCTATCTGATGGTAACCTGACTTCAGATCTACCTTTGAGAAGTACTTGCAGCCCTGTACTCGATCTAACAGGTCATCTATGCGAGGCAGCGGCTCTGCATTCTTGATTGTGATGGCATTCAGTCCCCTGTAGTCTATACACATGCGTGGTTCTCCCTCCTCCTTTGGGACAAATAGAACAGGTGCGCCGAAAGGTGATGTACTAGGCCTTATCCATCCTTTCTCTAGGGGCTCGTCTAACTGCATGCGAAGCTCCTCTAGCTCCTTGGGAGACATCTTGTAGACTGCCCCCTTGGGAGTTCTATTGTCAGGTTCTATCTCTATATGGTGCTACATTGGTCTGGGGACTGTGGGCACTACTCCTGAAGGTGCTTCAGACAAGTCTTTGTACTCTTCTAGCAAACTGGCAATGGCAGGATGGGTCTTCTCTTCTTCTATAGGCCTATCGAACATTGGCCTCACGTAGGCTACGAACACCTGCTCTTCAAGCTGCTCCTTCCGCACAAGTCTGGCGAACGCAACAGCGCTGAGACAGCAATGGGCAAGGGGATTGTCTACCCCAAACTCATGGTACAAGCGGACTTGCTTAACTTCGTTTAACGGACTAGGGAGCCTGCACTCGTGCTCTCTAAGGTGCAATATGGCTCTTGCTGCCTCTCCCCAATATGTGCCTAACGCTATGTCAAATGGGAGATTCTCCTCTACGAGAAGGGTCAAGGAATGTAGTACCTTCTCTACCTTCCCTTCTTTCTCTAGGTGAAAGTAGGCATGAACCCCCTCAACATACTCTTCATTGCACATCCTACTTTTGTCTGCAAGGATGTTGACTACAGTCGCTGGACTTTCAGATTGAGCTTCAACTTTTCCAGTGCTTTACGACTAATATAACTCCTAGTTGCCCGACTGTCTATCAGCGCTCCTACTCTAGCTCTAAAAATCTCTACGTCTGCGAGGATTAGCTATCCTTTCCCATCCTTCTTCATTTTTGCCCAGGCTTACCTACTCTCCTTCAGTTCCTCAGCTACGCATGTGATGGAAGCGTCTAGAGAGACCCTAACACAAGCAGTCTCTAGACAACCTACTAGACGCTGGCCTGCAACCTCTGCCATGGAGATATGTGGAGTGGGAGACCACTTCGCGCGCACGCTCAAATCCACATAATCCTGGGGCAGGGGCAGTTGCAACCCTTACCGGCGACTGTCTTTTGCTGCCCCAGAAACAGCATGACTCCTATACTTAGGACAAAATTTTATAATGTGGCCCGAGTCCCCGCAAAACACACACTGAGACATATTAATACGTTCTTGCCATATGTTTTTTTTTCAATACCCAGATCTTCCCTGGGTCGGCCTGGGTGCCAACATCCCTGTTTGGGGGGTGACCGACTAGAACCCGGACGGTGAGACGGGGGACCTCCCCTTCCTCCCACTTGGCGGTTTTCATTGTCGCCAACCCCCTAGCCACCCTGTCCTCAGCCACCTGGGGCCCGGCCATTCCGGCCAGACCTTGTCCTCCTCCTTGCGGCCTCCCTCCAGTCGCGATAGCAGCATAAGTTCTCCCTTGGCCTGCGCCGCTGTCCTCCTCCTCTAGTCCCCACTCAATGTCAAAGTAGGGAACCTCGTCTGCGCCACCTCCCTCCCTTGTTAGTATCAAACTATCTTTGGCCTTAATTTGGTCGGAGATGGTGCGCCCCTTCCACATTTTTCCCTTAGACAAATCTTTATGCCAGAACGTGGTAACTGGCGACGCTTGGGCGGCAAATGTGACTGCCTCCCTGCTAAGAACATTGTATGTCATACCTTGCTGATTCTTCTTCTCGAAGAAATGTCCCTGAATATTCTCAGGCACGGCACGATAGAAGAGGTTAACCAGTTGGGCATCGGTCACTCCATGCCCAGGAACAACAATCAACTCATCCATCGTGGACTTGAGGGAGTGAACGCTCTTCCATTGGCGCGTGTGTATCATTTGAAGCTTATCAGAGGCTTAAACTGCCCGTGTTACATTAGAAAATCGTTCTCTGAGTGATTTCAGGAACTCAGAGAGGGGTGTCAGTCTAGAATAGGTGACCATATCATTGTCGCAGTTTGCAGTGCGGGCGAGCGACCTAGCGAAGCTGGTCGCCTCATCTTGAAGGGGGCCTGGAAGGCCACCAAAACGTGATCCTCAGGCGCGACTCCTTGCAAGTACAAATAGGAGTGCACATTGGCCTCCCAGTTATCGAAATCCTCCCCCTTCTTTCCACTGAAGGTTTCAAGGAAACTAACTTTAACCTTTTCGCGACGTGGTGGGGCCGACTCCTCTTCCTTAGCAGCCGCTAGCTTGGCGCCTTCCAGTGCAGAATTCCTTTGTCTCACTAATTGCAAGGTGGACTTGGCCCACCATGTACTTCATCACATCCTGTGCAAAGTCTCTAAACCCTGCGCACATTGCATTTAGCTTTATATCTTGACTACGTATGAACTGCATCTGCTCGCGCTGTGCAATTAGTAAAGACTCTACGCTTTGGGTCAGGGTCTCAAGTTTAGTTGCTAGCTCGATCTCTGCTTTCTCCGCCGCTTCCAGACGCCTAACTTTTTCTTGGGACAATTGCAACTTTCATGCCCTCTGTTGTTCGTCCTCCTTCGCCCTTCTCCTTACCGGGTCCCTTTCTGCTTCCAACTGCCTCCTCGCCGCTTCTCTCTCTTCTTGGAGTATGGCCAACTCTACCTCCCTATCTTCTCCCAACTCCAAGTGTGCGGCCCATTCCTTTGTCATCTTCTCAATCTCCTCCTCCTTACTTGAACTGGGTTCACCTCTTCTTCTTTCCAATGACACTTCTTCTTCTACCACTTCTTCTTCTTATTATTATTTCTCCACCTTCGCTTGAATAGCTGCCATCTTCTCCTCCTGATCCTTTTTCCACCTTTCCATCTCCTCCATCTGCCTCTTCTTTGCTTCCTGCTCTTCTAGCAGGGCCAACATCTTGACCTACTTGATCAACTCTCTCTTCTCCATCTTCTCCTTCCTCTCTCGCAGAAGGGCAGCAACTCTCTCTGCTTGCTCCTTGCTGTAAGGGGCGGTGCTAG